GTATTGCATGTTCCCCTTCCCGTTGGAGTTGTTCGCCGCCCCGAGTCCCTTTTAGGGAATAGGGCGGCATATAAATAAAATGAAACTTCAAACTGTTGTGAAGTTGCCTGTGATGTCTTTTTTCAGATCTCCTGAGACTTTTATCTCATTTTTCTCTTAAGAGTTGAGCTGGTCTGGTTTATGTCTTACCTTTCTATTTTCTCTATCATCCTTCTTAGAACTGGTGGTGGCCGAGTCGGTGGTTGTCATTAAGAAGCTTCTACAGATGCAGCCATCTCAACACAGTGAGATCATCAAGCATATGGCCAAGCTGACCGATAACATCCAGGTTTGAACAAGAGCTGAGGAAGAGCCTCTACTTGGGTAGCATGCGGTGGACCATGAGAGGATGAGGAAAGCCCAAATGTCACTTTCTTTTGTGTATAGGTTCCCATGGCCCGGGCCAGTATCTTATGGCTGATTGGTGAATACTGTGAGCATGTGCCCAAGATTGCCCCAGATGTTCTGCGCAAAATGGCCAAGTCCTTCACCAGCGAGGAGGACATTGTGAAGCTGCAGGTCATCAATCTTGCAGCCAAACTTTATCTGACCAACTCTAAGCAGGTAAGATTGTCAGAGTGTGCACAGTGTGACTAGATGAGACAAAGACTATATACATACATGGATTTTAGTCAAACCTTAGACAACAACAATCAGCAATTACAGCAGGGAAGCACATACGGAGAGATAGATACGTCCCAACAGGGCCTCTTTTTATTACAGGCTCTTAAAGTGATATCAGCCCAAAAACCTTGCTTACTCATTCCCAGCATTACCTCATCACAGCAGCTGGTCAGCTTTTAAATCATTATCCTGACAAAGGCCATTTCTAAAAATAACCAGTGTAGTGTAGGTTGGTACCTAAAGGTTTTAGCAATAGCAATAGCAGTTAGACTTATATACCGCTTCATAGGGCTTTCAGCCCTCTCTAAGCGGTTTACAGAGTCAGCATATTGCCCTCAACAACAATCCGGGTCCTCATTTTGTCATAGACTGGTCAAGGAGATACATATCAAATGCCTCTTAACTTCCAAAGTAAAACAACACATAGGTAGACATGTTTTATACTGGAACTATTGCACATCTTAGGATGATAGTTAAACATTTCAAAAAGGGTCCTCTTAATATGCAACAACTTTCCAATCAAGGGTTCAAATTTCAGATGGTATCCCTGGTATCCAGAAAGGTTTGGAAAAAAAAAACGAAGTCCAGAAACCATTGGATAGGCCAGCTACCATATATTTAATCTAATAAATAAAGAGTTGATTCACTCAATTTGAAAGTCCAGCTGCGACTTAAATCCATTTCCACCCATAATGGTGAACATCTACATGTTGTAGCAGATGGAAAGAAAGGGGGGGAGGAAATAGAAACAGTTTTATCTGAACAAAGCCAGAGATCCTTGCAAGGGGGAGGCATATATTTTTAAAAATAAAGTCAAAATTTCAGATGGAGAGTTCAGCTATTAAGAGCTGGAAGAAACCAATCAATTCCAGATTCCAATGATCTAAAATAATCCCCTTGCAATATTCAGAGCGATGTGTATATTCACGGCAGAGACTAAATTAATATGTTTTACAGTTGGAAGATCTTCTAACTTTATTACATTTCATCATTTTAATTTTTTATTTATGACGTAACATTTAACTTTATTTATTATATTTATGCACGTAATTGAAACCTCTAGATATCAAGCCTTTGGTGTAAGACGTTGCCAGGAATTGCCCCCAAAGTACCCAGCTAGTAATTTGAGACTGACCCATCACTTCCATCTTTTTTCTTCTCTGCCACGTTGCTATGGCACCTGCAGAGTAAGCTGCTGACCCAGTACGTGCTGAATTTGGCCAAGTACGACCAGAACTATGACATTCGGGATCGTGCCCGTTTTATCCGCCAGCTCATCGTACCCACGGAGAAGAGCGGTGCCCTCAGCAAGTATGCCAAGAAGCTTTTCCTGGCACAAAAGCCTGCTCCCATTTTGGAGTCCTCTTTCAAAGGTAAGGCATGGCAACGGAGCAAAGGTACGGGAACGGTTGAAGGACCATAGAATAGAAGAGAAGACAAGAGAAGAGAGAAGAATAGGGAATAGGGAAGAGAAGAGACAAATAGAGAAAAGAGAAGAGAAGAATAGAGAGTAGAAGAGAGAAG